TTTAAGGATAATTTTGGTACTTTTTAAAGGTGAAGGACAATTTTGGTACCAAAGTGATAAGTTGAGGGACTAAAATGGTACTTAAACCTTTTTTTTTTGGTATACAAGCCAAGGGAACGTGGAATGTGGGGCCTCAGGACGGGGCTGACGGTGACGCCCATGTTAATAATGGGTTGAGAACGACGGAAGGAAAAGTCCAAACCCGAGGAGGTAATGCGGAGGCATCTCATTTCATTCAGTTGGAGAGATTGCATGCCCACTCTGTCATAATGACGCGTGTGTTTCACTTCTAAATCAACCCACGTAACTCTCTCAGTTTGACTCATTTGATGTAATGAGATTCAATTAGTTTTCATGTTCAAAATCCAAGCAAATCCATAAAAACGCATGGGTTTTTGCTTCTCCATCAACCAATACTGTTGAACTGAACTTTTCAGATTTAATAATTCATTTCTAACTCTTAATATTTTAGTTTAATTAGTTATGAATTCTTATTTTTATTAATTATTTGAAAATTTTTTCTGCCTTCCATGATTCTTTACGTTCAAAAAAATGAAGAAAAATCAACCAATACAGTTGAAACCAATCCATTGAATCTTATAATTAATTCACTAGTAAGTCTAAGAGTGTGAATTTAGGTGATCAAAAATTTTATTTTTATTACTTGAAAATTTTTTTTTGCTTTCCTCCAATTCTCCATGTTCGAAAAAAAAAAAAACCAATACAGTCCTCTCACAATTGACTTATCAACTAAGGTTCAAACGTTTTTCATGATTTTCATAATTAATTAGTTCTTACATTTTAAATCTCATTGCTAGCAATTTCTTATAATAGAGGGTAGTAATTAAATTCCATCATATGGCTACATCAAGGCTAATGGCATGTCATAATTTTAGATTTGGTACTTTCCCTTCCCTAAGGGTGTGTTTAGTTGAGAAAATTGTTTCACTTTATTTTCCTTCTTTCTTATTTAGACTTTTTAAAGTTATTTATGTATTTTCATGCCTTAATGTTATAATAAAAAAGAGTATAAGTTACATTTTTAATTTTTATTTTTTAACAAAATTTTTAATTAATAAAATTTTATTCTCATTTTTTTTAAAGGTAAAAGGTTTCCTTTAACTTTTTTTTTTCTTAGTATTCATTTTATAATTTTCATACTAATTTATTTTATATTAATTTTTTACTAAATACAAAATAAGTAACAATTTAATAAAATTATAATAGAACTTTATTATAAAATTTATTAATTTTTTATAAGTACTTTCCCAATAAAATTAACCAATGACCAAAGATGCATTAAATAAAAGGAAACAATAGATAAACAACTCATAATTGGGTTTTATGACTATAAACAAATTTGGCAAGGTTACACTTACACAATTTGTCTAATATTTTGTCATTTTATAA